TGGTAAATAATAGTCAGAACATCCGCGCACAAGATTTATATCTCATTTTTTTTTTCATCAAATCTCGTTATTCCACCACAACCCACCTAAATCACAGTTCATCCCCGTCTTATTGTGGGTAGTGATAGATAATAAATAAAAAAAGAAGATAAAATTGGACTTTTAAAGACACAAATAAAGAGTGCTTTCATAGACATCAAAACGGAAAGGATGGATGGTGTGAGTGGTTTATATTGACAACTTCAGAGAATTTAATTTTAAAAAATTTAATATATCAAAAGAGTGATAACTAAGGATATTGATTGATAATGCATCTCACCTATTTGCCTCATTATTTAAAATAATAGGGTTAATTGTACCGGAGGTCTCCAAAGTATGAAATTTATCTTATTTTGGTCTCTAATATTTTAATTATATCATTTTGATCCATGAAAAATAATGAATATATTTCTATATGCTCTTTCAAGCAAATAACGCCCAAATTGCTTACGATTTTTTATCATGAATTTGTCACATAATGCCTAACGATTTTGTTATCAGAAATTTGTCACGTAATACCTAACTATAGACAAAAAAATAATTTTGATAGCTTTTAGACAAAATTTGGGTAACTTTTGACTAAAATTTAGTCAAGAAGTATTTAAATTTTTTTTTGTTTATATTTAAGTATCACGTGACAAATTTATGATAAAAAATTGTTAACAATTTAGATACCGTTTGCTTTAGGGATCATATAAAAACGTATTCAATATTTTAGGAACTAAAATAATACAATTAAAATATTGGAGATCAAAATAAAATATACCTCATACTTTAAAGACCTCCAATACAATTAACCCTTAAAGATATATAAATGTATATATTGTTTGTTGTCGGTCGTCTTGCAAGAAATAGTTAAATAGGATGTTTATCAATTTATCTTTGACCGGGTGTAAGCTTTCCCAATACAATTACATTCTCTATATCTTGAGACTCGTATCATCCCCAACAAGTTGATCCAACTCTCATTTGTTTATTGTCAATTTTGAATTTTATAAGTCGCTTTCAAAATTTGATTAAACTAATGGACTTGTTTGCAAATCCAAAAGAAGGAATATCTTATTTCTCAATAGTATATTAGTATAAATATCCGGTCCCACATTAAATAACAAAATCACCATATCAACTTTGTCTTCGGATTGCTCTTTTAAAAGCTGTTGTGGCTGATCGCTATCCAATCCATCTCTCTCTCTCTCTCTCTCTCTCTCTCTCTCTCTCCTTCTCACAGCACCGATCGGATCGATTTAGCACACGGTCTTGACAGTGTTCGATTTCAGATCTCCCCAAGTCAGAGTAAGTTTTCTCTTCGTTGCAACTGTGAAATCACCTCCTCATACATTTTAGCATCTTTGATCTCTCAACCATTACTTCAGTGTTTGTGTGTGTACATGTATGGTGATATAGATCGAGTAAATTAGCTCTATTAGGATCACTGATCCATAATTATCGCATTGAATCACTAGATTTAAAACTTAATGATCTGATCGGTGCAACTGTTTATATTCTCATGTAAGTTTCGTAATTTGTTTTCACTGTGCTGAGTATTTGACTTGTTGATCGTTTACGATAGTATATGTGTGTCAGAGACATGTATGCGGATTTGTAATTTTGGGTTTAATTATATGAGGACTTCAATAATGTCAATCTTGTTTGTTGCTGTACAGGTGGAAATGGCTCAGATTCTGCTGCATGGAACTCTTCATGTCACGATCTACGAGATCGATAGGCTGCAAAGTGAAGGCGGTCGGCCGAATTTCTTCAGGAAGGTATATGCGATATGAATTGATTTGGATCGCAACTCATAAAATTTTGTCTTGACATTTTCTCATTTGAATTATTTGTTTAATAATTATGTTTTTAGCAATCTCCGTATATAACACTGAAATCATTGAATTGTGTCTAAGGAAACTATTTATAATGATGATTTAGGGCCTATTTGATGGTGTTTTCAGCTTTGTGCTTTGTATTTCCTATTCCTAAAAGCTATTGGTTTCCTTTTCCTTTTTCAATTTTAGAAAGTAGAATGAATGTAAATCTAATAGAATATGATGGTGGTATTCATAATGTGCATGTAAGATTTAAATCTTATTCGGTTATACCTATTCAAGCTTATTATGTATCATGCGGAAGTTATGTTACCAAATTTATGTGTTTTTTTAGTTGTCACATGACACTTTTTATTGACATGTGAAGTCGGTAATTTCAATATATCACTTGGCCATTCAGATTGATTTTTACGGTGCAAGCTTGAATCTCTTGTGTGTCTTAATATGCATGGTCTACAACTATCAATTTGCCTTGACATATGAATGTGGTCTCATGTATTTTTCTTGGTCGTACGTGCAAAGTAGGTTTATGCTGAAATATTTTGGCACCCTGTGGTAACACATTTAAAAGTATATTTGATAATTAATCTTTCCTTTTTGCTTTTGCTTCATATCAAAATAAAAAAAGTTAAACCATGTTTGGTAACTAATTTTGAAAATAATATATGCACCGCTTCATAAAAACCTGCTACACTCATATGTGTGTATACATCAAGTCAACTACTATACATGCAGTTTTGACTGGGACAGGAGAGCTAATAGAAAAGAGAATATGAAAACAATCAACCTTTGTTGCAGATAAAAAAGTACTTTTTTAGTTTTTGTAATACTCTATAACTATAATATTTTTTGTGTGAGCCAAATGCTAGTTTGAGCTTTATCTGTGTAGAAAAGCAGAACAACAAAGAAATAACTAAGTAAAGCATTACCAAATGATATCTAAGTTTTTTAGTTTAGTTACCAAGCTTTAGATGTTATTTGGCATGTATATTACTATCTTTTATTCTACAACATTTGAATTTCTATGTTTATATAGCGCATGATACAACAAATATAGGAATAGGTTTTCACAATTTTACTTGGATCATTAGTTACTTTGGAACATGATACGGGTACGCGGTACGATACTTTTTTAGGTATGTGGTACGATGAGGTTAGGTTTTGCTGGTACGGTATTTTGGTTCACAATTCGTTTCAAAACTCTTCTATAGATCGTTTTCACCATAATATAACATTATATATTATACAACATCCATAAATACTAAGTCAGTTATTATTTATTTGTCAGTTACCATTTATCTTACATTTGTGCTTAATTTTCTATTATCTAAAATAATATATAATTATAAATCTATATACATATATTTAATTAATAGGTATTTTATATTTGTGTTATGTGTATAATTTAGGATCGTACATTTTGATGATATATAGATCGTAAACACACCTTGTTTGATATCGATGTACCCAAATCATGGGTTGTCAGGTGTGTAGTGAATTCTGATAACTATAATCACATTGGTATATACTATATAGTGTGATCATGCGTTACCAATTTTCTCTCCTCTCCCAATGTATAGAAACATCAGCTAGTTGTCTTAGAAGACACATTGGAATTTCACGAATGTTTGATCTGCTAATTTAGAAATGGAATGCTAACTACGATTGTTGACATACACTCCTTGATGATTTGTTTGGTGTGAAAGGATTGGTATAACTAATAACTACGGGGACTATCCTGTGTGCGCCAAAGAAAACAGGAAGGAAAGTTGGAGAGAAAATAATGAATAGAGATGGTTAAGGTCCAGGTACATGATTCCCTAGAGGCTTTACTAATTAGGCTAGTTGCGAAATTGTTTTTTTCTTTTTTCATATTTATTGGTCAGCAAATACAAATTTTTGACAAAGTGCAAATGTAAATTGCGGCTAGCTTCATCATGCTGCAATCCATTTATTTTTGGAACCCTGGGTGGTGCATTCCGCATTTATCGTACACTCTGATAAAACCTTCATATCTTCATCAAAACTCCTGATTAGTGTTTCTTAATTGTTTGGCATGCTAAAGTTGCCCGCAGTGTCTTCTCTTTTAAAGAGCAGGTAATTTCAATAAAGAAAATGGAATTGTATAAAAAATTTCCACATGCGAGTTTTGAACCAATAGTAGCAAGCGCCTTCAAAACAGAAAACAACAACAATAAGATATACAGAGCGTAGAAGAAAATGAAACAATTATAAACTTTGCAACTACATAATAGAATATAGTGTCTGTGTGTGTTGGTGTATGTGTGTTGACAGAGTTTTATAGATTTGCAATTTGTTTTTGCATATAATGTGTGAAAAGTTACCTTTTACACACTTAAGTTCACTATAATGAAATTATACATGAAAAAAAAAAGAAAAGAAAGAGAAAAAGGTGCTCATTATTTTCCTTCTTTGCCAAATAGTTATTGAGGGTGTTAACAGTAAGTACGATCCTTATGTCTGTTTTTAATCAACATTTGGATGTTTGGATCAACAACCTTGTTTTGATTTTTATTGACATTTAGCCCCATGTTTGATTAGTATATCTCAGAGTGGTTCTCTCTTTTATTTTTCCTCCGTCATATTTGAACTTTCAGTTATATTCCCTATTTGTGTGTTTTGCATTTTGTGCTTCTTTCTCACTTTTTGTCAGCTGAGACTAATTATTGAGTACTTCCACACAAAAAAATGTAAAAGTGAGACTGTTAGTGATTGCCAAAAGTCATGTGGTCAATTTAGTGTTCGAGGACAAGTATATGTGATTATCCAAATAGGATTTGTTTGAGAAAGTGAATGATTTTGCATTTTTGGTTGAAGCTTTCTCTTTTTCTATCATTCTAATTTGCTCACTATTACTTGTAACCTTTCCCCTGCTCCTTTTGTGTATTGAAGAGTATTTCAAACTATTTAACTAACTTCTGTTCCTTTTAGCTATTCTATCTTGACCCTTTTTGGTACTGGAAAATAGTTAATGATAATTTGGAATGTGTTAAAACAATGCTTGATCTCCCGGTTTTATGCCTGTTTTATGACAATGGATTCTTTTGTTGTTGATTCAAGTTTTTAACACAGTTAAGTTGTTTGATCCTCCTGTGTTTGGTGGACTTTTCTTGTAGCTTGTGGAGAATATAGAGGAGACTGTTGGTTTTGGCAAAGGGACTCCGAAAATTTATGCAACTATTGATCTTGAAAAGGCTAGGGTTGGTCGGACCAGAATGATAGAAAATGAACCCAACAACCCTAGGTGGTATGAATCTTTCCACATATACTGTGGTCATATGGCTTCAGATGTTATATTTACTGTTAAAGACGATAATCCTATTGGCGCAACCTTAATTGGAAGAGCTTATGTGCCGGTTGAAGAACTCTTAGAAGGGGAAGAGGTGGACCGATGGGTGGAAATATTGGATGAAGACAAAAATCCCATACATGAAGGTTCTAAGATCCATGTAAAGCTACAGTTTTTTGATGTTAATCGAGATTTTAATTGGGCTCATGGAATTAGAAGTTCAAAGTTTCCTGGGGTTCCTTACACATTCTTCTCTCAGAGACAAGGATGTCGGGTGTCACTGTACCAAGATTCTCATGTGCCAGGCGGGTTTGTCCCCAAAATTCCTCTTTCTGGAGGCAAGTTTTACGAGCCCCATAGATGTTGGGAAGATGTCTTTGATGCAATCACTAATGCAAAACACTTCATTTACATTACTGGCTGGTCCGTATATACTGAAATCTCCTTGATAAGAGACTCAAGGAGGCAAAAGCCAGGTGGAGACATCACCCTTGGTGAGCTGCTTAAGAAGAAGGCAAGTGAAGGTGTAACGGTTCTCATGCTGGTTTGGGATGATAGAACTTCTGTGGGTCTACTGAAGAAGGATGGATTGATGGCCACCCATGACGAAGAAACCGAGCATTACTTTCAAGGTACCGATGTGCATTGTGTCCTATGCCCTCGCAATCCTGACGATGGTGGAAGCTTTATTCAGGATATACAAATTTCTACCATGTTCACCCATCACCAGAAGATTGTGGTGGTGGACAGTGAGATGCCTACCGAAGGGTCACAGAAGAGGAGGATTGTGAGTTTTGTTGGCGGGATCGATCTTTGCGATGGGAGGTATGATACCCCCTTCCATTCACTTTTCAGGACATTGGACACAGCACACCATGATGATTTTCACCAGCCAAACTTCACTGGTGCTTCAATTACAAAAGGTGGACCAAGGGAGCCTTGGCATGACATTCACTCCCGGCTTGAAGGACCAATTGCCTGGGATGTTTTGTTTAATTTTGAGCAGAGATGGAGAAAGCAAGGCGGGAAGGATATACTTGTTAACCTGAGAGAACTGGATGGTATCATTCCCCCATCTCCAGTAATGTTCCCAGATGACCAAGAGACGTGGAATGTTCAATTGTTCAGATCCATTGATGGTGGAGCTGCTTTTGGCTTCCCTGACACGCCTGAGGAAGCAGCCAAATCAGGTCTTGTCAGTGGGAAGGATAACATAATTGACCGAAGCATTCAGGATGCGTATATTCATGCTATTAGACGGGCAAAGAACTTCATTTATATTGAAAATCAGTATTTTCTGGGAAGCTGCTTTGGCTGGAGTTCAGATGATATCAAGGTTGAGGACATTGGTGCTTTGCATCTCGTTCCCAAGGAGCTTTCTTTGAAGATTGTTAGTAAGATAGAGGCCGGGGAGAGGTTCACTGTATATGTTGTAGTCCCCATGTGGCCAGAAGGGCTTCCAGAGAGTGGATCAGTTCAGGCAATATTGGATTGGCAGAAGAGGACAATGGAGATGATGTACAAAGATGTTATTCAGGCTCTAAAAGCTAAGGGCATTGAGGATGACCCGAGGAATTATTTGACATTTTATTGCCTCGGTAATCGGGAAGTGAAGAAGAGCGGAGAGTATGAACCTTCCGAAAAGCCAGAGGATGATTCAGATTATCTTAGAGCACAGGAAGCACGGCGGTTCATGATCTATGTTCATGCTAAGATGATGATAGGTACGTGATGCCTGGGAAACTCTTACAAATTTGTTTGCCAAGTTTGATTCTTTACTTTATGAAAAATTCGTGTTCAAAGCTATCGGTGTCAGATATTTTTAAAATGGCGTAATAATAATGAAATGCATCAGAGATGCTGAGAATCATCCAAGCCTAAATAAGCCATGTTGATCTCTCTCTCTCTCTCTCTCTCTCACTCACACGCACACATACACACGCAAACCCTTGCTTGCACACACATGTTCACAAAATGAGGTCGTGGAGTTAATCTGTTCTGTGTCTTTTGCAGTTGATGATGAATACATTATTATTGGATCGGCCAACATCAATCAGAGATCAATGGATGGCACCAGGGATTCTGAGATAGCAATGGGTGCCTACCAACCATATCATTTAGCAGGCAGGCAGCCAGCAAGGGGTCAGATTCATGGTTTCCGAATGTCATTATGGTACGAACACCTTGGCATGCTTGACGAGATCTTCCTCCACCCAGAAAGCGAGGAGTGTGTCAGAAAGGTGAATCAGGTTGCTGACAAATATTGGGATCTCTACGCAAGTGAGAGTCTTGAACGCGACCTGCCCGGCCACTTGCTCCGCTACCCCATTGGGGTGGCCGGCGCAGGGGAAGTCACGGAGCTTCCGGGAATGGAGTTCTTCCCGGACACCAAAGCACGTGTTCTTGGTGCCAAATCTGACTACCTCCCTCCCATCCTTACCACCTAATAGGTTAACCTTCTTGGCATGATTTGATGAGAGTAATAACTCAGTAACTCTTGTTCCTCTTTTAATCCTAGTGCTTGTAGTAGAATAAGGCATTGTGTTGTGTCATAACCTGCAGATAGGGTCCGACTTTTCTGTAGAGGCGTGCAGATCAGGATTAAGGAGGTTTGGTTTTTTCGATTTAGGTGCTTGACGGATGTTATTTTCTTGAGTGCATTATGTAGTCTACGTGTCATCATCTTTGTGTTCTGTCATGTTATTTTATGTGATTTCTCATTATTTTTTTCTGTAAATTACTAATTTCTCATTTTTTTTTCTCTAAATTAGTAATTTCTTTGGTCACACACTCTAGAAAAAAACAGATATATGCGAGACCTGGAACTTTATGAATGGCTGCAGTGCCACTTGGTCATCTCACGTCATCTAGCACCATTGATTAAGAGTGTGGTGGGATTTTTTTTTTTTTTGGTTGCCCTTGCTTATACGTTAAGTTTGACACGTGGCAAAACACCCTGCATGACAGATGAGGACCCCTGTTATTGCGTGGCAAATAACGGTAGATTTAGCGGAGACTGTCACTCTCCACCTCCATGAAGAATCAAACACACGGAGTCCTTGTCTTGTTCCGATGCCCGACTACTACAAGTGAAAAGAACCAACCTGGTTCTCTTTTCTCTCACCACACGGATTTGGGTTCCTCTCCAAAGCCAGCTGTGGCCACCTAAGCCAACTTGACCTCACTTGTGAACAGCATTCCTCCCCATTTTCTGCCTCTTTTTGGGTTCCGCTTAACGTGCACTGCACTGCACTAGGCAACAGCCAAACAGAACACCAAAAGCCATCTCATGGAACTCAATTTTTAGCCTTGTGTCTGATGTGAATCCAAAAGTGATTATAATCAATTAAACTGAATATGAAAATGAGTTGAATTAGTTGAAGTATTGAAATTAGTAAGTTTACTTAGCAGTTGTATGAATAAAATGTCTTAATAATAATGATTGATTATTTAATTTAGTTATGATGTAGATCAAGAAGGTATTTGATGAATGAGAATTTATAGGTGATGAATTTAATGGAAAAAAATAAGTCCTATCTTGTGGCCTAAAAATATCATACTTTTGCCCTTTTCAGCAAAATAAACTGAAATAATACCTACAATACTACCGAGTCGTTTTGCATGTAAAATCACATTGTTTTAAGAACAATACCCGTATAATAGGGATTTGACTAGGGTACTTCTAAAAGAATTTTGGTATCATATATCTAAAATTTACAACTTCAAATGATGTTTTTATAGCTTTTGTGGTTCATTTTATAAAAAAACAAATTTGCAACTTTTGTGGTTGATTTACCACTTTTTAAGAGTTTTTTTTATCATTATTATGGGTGTTTTTATTATATTTGTAGTAACTATTTTTATAATTTTTTATAGATTCAAAAAAAATTACTGTATTTGTTGGTACTTTATAACATTTGTGAGTTTTTTAACTACTATTGTAGGTGTTTTTATCACTGTTATGATAACTATTTTTATCTCTTTTTTGAATATCACAACAATAATAAAAATACATATAAATATAATAAATATATTAATAAAAATATAATAAATTTCAATATAACACCAAAATTCAAAATTTTGGTGCCATAGCCAAATACCAATAACAGAGGAGCCAGACCTCAAAATTAGAACTTTAAGATTCTTACGTCTCTTGTAAATCCCCCATTCTCTCTCCTCTCCCAGTATTAGTAATACACTATTCAGTTCTCAATATAAATATCTACCTGTTTTTTATTCTACATTCTCTCTCCTCTCCTATTAAAAAACTACAGAACAACCCACAACACAGACAGAATTAAGTACAACACCTAACCCATTGGTGTCAACTTGTTTTGCAAATTGCAATAAACCCAATTCATTTCCACTTAATTCTCCTCTAATTCCAACCAAACATGTCCTCTATAAGCTCGCAAGTGGTCTTAGCAACAGCCATGGCGGTCTCCGGCACCTTAATTATTCTCTCTCTCTTCCGGGAAAAGCCTCTCTCACCTGCCCAACTTTCTGGGAATCAAGATTCCCACCAAGAAAAGAATATTCTACGTTCTTGTTTGTCTTCAAGTGCGTGGGTCAAATCAACTTTTTTTTTTCTTTCCTTTCCCTGTTCTTTTGTTTTCCGATGGACTTATGCAAATGTATACATGTGTTTGTTGAAATGCAGCAGAAGGCAAGAAAAGGGAGAGAAAGAAGAAGAGAGTCAAATTTGCTGATGTGTGAAAGATTCAAGTTGGGAGGGTAAGTAGTACAGAAAAGACCAGAGGAAGTCGACCGAAATTCTTGATTCTTGTGGAGAAGAAATACGGGGAAATCGCTTTACGCCGGCGAATCGGGTGGCACTGTACAGTGTGATTCTTAGGGATCGCGTGCAACGAATGGAGTATTCATATTGATGAATCTATCAATTTGGGATTTGTTGATATGGGTGGGTAGGGGGGGTAAATGTAAATAAAAGTTTGTGGAAATTATGGTTTCTAATTATTGTAATTTTTTATCTTTATTAATGGAACATGTAAATTTGTCATTTTATCATTTAATAATTTTAGAGTAGAAAGTGAGTTAGATTTTCTAAATATAGAGAATAAAATTAATACTAATGTTATAAGGGCATAATTTAGGGATTTAATGTATTATAACCATTAGATTAATAGTGAAATACATTTAACACTGAAACCCATCGACAATCCAATAATTACAATCATTAAGTCCCCAAGTTATATACTCAAATTATGTATCAATAAACTCTTAGTTTTCTATCCCCTTTCTACTTCTTAGGAAACCCTAATGGAGTCATCGTTCTCTTACCACCTCAAGGGTGAAGAGAGTATGCCTTCTGGTATGACATACACCTATACTTCTTGATCGTGATTCCTTATATCAACTTGAGTGACTGTTCATTCGTGAACCCTAGTTTTTATATTTGATTCTTAAAACAATTGCTGCAAAAACCTTCTAAAGGAATATCTATGTTTCCTTGGCCATTGCAGAAGTTTAAATCCTTCTCTCTAACGGCAAAAAAATTAGTAATTGCTGATTTCGATAACTTAGATATTATGGAGGGTCTCCAAGAGTGTGAAAGTAGTTTGTTTGGTAAGAGTCTTACGGATAAACCTATGAGCGTAGTGGCACTGAAAAACACAATGACCTCTGTATGGGAGAACAAGTTCTTAAAGATCAATAAAACGGAATCAAACACGTTCTAGTTCTTCTTTCCATAAGCGAAAGCCATGTGGAGAATATTGAACTCGGGGCCGTGGTGTTTTTATAATCATCTTCCACCGTTGGGTGGGGAATCTGACCCTAACCCTAACAAAGTTCGATAAAGCTTTGTTTTGGATCCAAGTACAAGGGTTCCCCCGTGAATGCTGTACAAAAAAAGTAGCACAAAAGGTACCACTTAGTTTTTCCAACACGAGGTTGTGGAAATAAGAGAGAAATTGGGAAATGGACATCGGTTTATGAGACTACGAGTTGAAATTCATGTGCTAACCCCACTTTGAAGGGGAATTAAGCTTCGAGACCAGAATGGAACCATGTGATTTGGTACCTTTCAATACAAGAGACTACCCTACCTTTATTTTTAGTGTCGGATGATGGGTCACATAGGGAAGAACTGTCAAGAAATGAAAATGGATGTCGAAGCAGGCATTCAAAAAGAAAGCCAATATGACCCTTGGCTATTAGTAACTACCAAAAAATCCTTGCATTTTCATAAAATCCAATCAAATGATGGGCCTCCAGGCATGGCTCCGATGAATGCCGGAGATTGGAGGGATCCAACTGATGAACTCAATCCTAGCTGGAATTATAGCGACTCAATGACAGGAGATAAATTGTGAGGATCATTCTAGAAACAGTGGCTTAAGGGGGGCCAACAATTATGTCGTTGGAGAAGGAAAGATGCGAGATTCTCTAGTAAGATCTAAAATTATGGGTATGGAAAGCACTGAACTAGGTGATTCTATGGGAGCCATAGATTTGAATGATGGGTGGCGAGAGTCAATTGTCAACGAACTACTAATGGATATGGGTCAAGGTAGTATAGGTCGAGGCCCAGGTATTGTTATACCTGATGAGTCTAATTTAGTGGAGGTGGGCCTAGTCTCTTTAATTTCAGACCAAGCTCATAAGGAATTGAGTCTTAATACTAACGGACTAGTACTTCAATCAAAGAAGTATGAGCTAGGGGGTGGCTTCATCCTACTTGATAAATCAATCCTGAAGGTGAAGCCTCCATCTATAAGAGAAAAGGGAAAGTAGGATGTCTAGGAGGTGCAAATCAGAGCCAAACGAAAGGAACCCAATATACTCCAGGATTGGAGCAAGGTGGCTATGAAGAAGAGAAAACAACTAGATGGGAAACAACAAACCAACCAATTAACGACGAAGACTAAAACCCTAGTCCTACTGACAACCATGATTGGCGTTCTATGAAATTGTCAAAGGCTTGGGAACCCTTGGACAATTTGAGCTCTTCACGACCTTGTGAAGAGAGAAGCCCCTATTTTTGTTTTCTTAATGGAGACAAGGTTACAAGAAACAAAATTTAAAAGAATTAAACACAAAATTGGGCTTACTCAAGGATTAATTGTGGAAGCTCGTGGAAGAGTAGGAGGTCTGGCTTTATTATGGAGGTGAGGTGAGCAACTAGCCGTCAAAAGTTATTCGGATTTTCATATTGAGGCCATTTTTAATGAAGGGAGTGAAACAAAGTGGAGGTTGTTTGGTTTTTACGATCACCCAGATACAACAAGGAGAAAAAGATCATGGTCCTTACTGTCATCTCTGAGTAATAGATTTGATATGTTGTGGGTGTGTGGGGGGTGACTTTAATGAGATAATCTCAATGGAAGAAAAGATGGGTGGGGCGGTCAAACCAATCTGGCAGATGAAGGATTATAGGGAGGCAATTGATGGATGTGGGCTATTGGATTTGGAATTCCACGGATACCCATATACTTGGTTTAAGGGGAATATACACCCGTTCACAGTGAATGAGAGACTTGGTTTGGGGTTCAGCTAAGTGGATTTCGATGTTCCCAGATAGTAGCGTGGTTTATATGTCCACCACGGACTCAAACTATTGCCAATTAATTTTGAAAGTAGAAACCGCATCAAGCATTATTTGAGTAACAAAACGAAAGCATTTCAAATTTTAATCGATGTGAGCGAAGGACCCAAATTGTATTAAAGTAGTTCGAAGGGGATAGCCCCACCATCTAACTACCTGGAGAAGCAATTCATGAATAAAATGAGATCTTGTCACGTGGGTTTATTAAGGTGGAATAAGGAGAAGTTTGGGCATGTGGGTAGACAGCTATAAGAGAATAGGCAAAGGATTGACCAGTTACAAACAAACGAGTGCAAGAAAAGGCAATCTATAATCACACTCATCAGTTGTTAGGGGTAAAGAAACTATGTGGAGGCAAGATTGAAACCTCTGTAGGTACGAGAAGGGGTTCAAAATACCAAATTTTTTCATGCACAAACAACAGTGAGATGCCAAAGGAATGCTATCAGAGGCCTTAAAGATAGTAATGGAGTGTGGAGATCGGATTCGAGCCATATTGAGCAAAGTGCAATTGACTACTTCAAGAATTTATTTGAGTCCTACTGTAACAGCCCGATTTCCTGGACGCGTTACTTAATTAATCGATAGATCACAATAAACTACAAATAAATCTCTGAATATAGGGCCAGAGCTCTAATTGTCTCGCTAAATTTATAATCACAATTTTGATTACCAAATAACAAAAAAAAATAATCTCCTCAATATAAAAACAAATCTGTTTAAATTATATATCACTCCAATAAAACCACAAAGTTATAAATTTGAAACTTTCTCATATTTTCACTCTGGTCTTGCCCTCCGGAATTATATATCACCACAATAAACTCACAAAGTTAAAAATTATATCAAGATTCATCCATCTTCAATTCAAATATCAACTTTGGTCATTCCCTCCGAGGTTATCCTGAAAAAAAATATTAAAAACAAGAAAGGATACAATATGACAAGAATAATATGCTCAACGAAAAAAAATATGAATGACCAGATGCCAAATAATTCAGATGATAAGAATTATGGATAACGAAATCAAGAATCACATTCGATAGGCCACATAGCTCAAGTGCTAACAAACACAGAGTCATACTCGGTTCTTCTTGGTGACATGACAAGTGATACCTGGACATATAAATCTATACTAATAATAACTAATCACACCCCCGCAATATTGTAATCACAATTGCACCCCGTAAGGGCCCTAATCACATTTCACCAATTATGCCCTAAGTACACTTTGTACATGTACCAATCAATCATTAGCCCAAAATACAAGTCAACCGATACAAATATCAGAATTTTGTATCAATTAGAATAATCAATAGGAATATAAATTTCAAATAATCAAAAGACACTCTTTGCAAAAAGATTTAAAAGACATGAGTATATTGTATACTACCTCGTACCTCAAAATCATTAATAACTTCAATAGATAAGAAATTCGAGGTACCTTGAGCAAAACACTTCAATTTGGTAATGATCAAAAGCAAAATTCACTATTTAATTTTTGACCCTAAAAACTCATAAATTTCTCTCTCTTCATCTCTCTTTCACCCCCCTCTCTCTCTCTCTCTCTTTCTTCCCTTCCTACCTTGGTCGAATGACCAAGTGCTGGCTATTTATAGCCAAAGTTTTTGGCCAAAAATCACATGTGAATTGGCTTAAGTCATCATGCTTAAGTCACCTAGCTTGCATCACATAGACAATTGTCCATATTTGCTTCATACATATTTTTTTTTTTATAACACATGTCTATTTCTTCTTCCCACCATTTATGTACATGACCATTTTTCTTTCTTTCTTTCTTTCTTTGACACTTATATATCTAAAATATATAAATATGCATATACACGTATTATTCATATATTATATCATTTTAACAATTTGACATTTTATTTTAACACGAAATATGAGCTATATTATAGTCATTCGACTTGTTTTCACGTAAAAAAAATTGTATTTGAGGTTCATTTGTTCATTTGAAATTTTTATAAATGATCATTAACTATATAAGATCATAATTAACAACTTAAATTGCACGTTAGCGATTAATTTTAATACGGGGTTATCACAATCTACCTCCCTTAAAAAGAATTTCGTCCCCGAAATTCAATACTAACCGTGAGAGTAAAATAATTATAAATACATTACATAAATATCTGTTGCGCACTTTGATACCATTTTCAACGATTTACTATATATCCCAAGATTTTGATATGAATTCCAACTTATACATCCGTCTAATAGAAATTGGTTGACTTACTCTGCATATTTCAAACTCATATACCTACAGCGAAAGGTGATAGTCTCACTTCCCACAAGACCCATATAAGATCTGATATCTGAGCTCTGATGCCACTTTGTAACGCCTTAGTTTCCTGGATGCGTTACTTGATTAAATCGATCGATCACAATAAACCACAAATAAATCTCTGAATACAGGGCCAAAACTCTAATTGGCTCAATAAATTTATAATTACAATTTTGAACTCCAAATTAAAAAAAAAAATCTCATCAATATAAAAAAAATATTTTTAAATTATATATCACCCCAATAAAACCACAAAGTTATAAATCTGAAACTTTCTTATATCTTCACTCTAGTCCTTCCCTCTGGAATTATATATCACCACAATAAACCCACAAAATTAAAAATTATATCAAGACTCATCCATCTTCGATTCAAATATCAACTTTGGTCATTCCCTCTGAGATTATCCTGAAAAAATTATTAAAAGCGGGAAAGTATGCAATATGACAGGAAACAATATGCTCAACAAAAAAAAATATGAATGACCAGATGCCAAATAATTCAGATGATAAGAATTATGGATAACGAAATCACGAATCATATTCGACAGGCCACACAGCTCAATTGCTAACAAACACAGCCTCATACTCGGTTTTTCTTGGTGACATGACAAGTGACATTTGAGCATATAAATTTGATGGGCCAAGCCCAAAGGCCCAACTTGTGTTATAAGCCAGGTCCGAATTTATAGCCCGACTCCAAGAGATCCAACAAATTCAACCCAATGTGGTCAACCTAGTCAAGCTCATCAGGCTCAAGGAACTACTACATCAGCAAGGAGTAGGCAAAGTCATCCAAGAGCCTCCTCCTCTACCACCTTGGAATAAGGGTCATTCAAAGGTCTCCTTTACCGCCTTGGAGTAAGGGTCATCCAAGACCCTCCTCTACGCCACCAAGGGAGCATCCAGGAGCCTCACCCTCACAGCCTGGAGAGAGTCAAACTCCTTCATCCTTGAACAAGTCCTTTGGAGAACACACCAACTGTCACACCTCGTGCCGTTGAGAAGATGATAGGTTGCCTCCGCTAGATCAGCTACCTAATTACTATCAAACGGTCCTAAGCCATTATGATCGTCAGACTAGTCATATAATTACTATGTCAAGCCACTATAAATTGTTAGCTCCCCTAACACTTGGGGGGCATCAGACTCATTTGAGCATAATTCTCTCCTCCTCTCTCAAAGCTTGTAATCATGTGTTCTCCCTCCACATCGGAGATAATAAAATTTTGGCGAACCTAGCCATTCAAAGTGGACGTAGGTCGTATTGACCAAATCGCTATAAGTCATGTATTTTCTCTCCTTCTACTTACTGCATTTTATACTACAACTTGACTAGTGGTGTGCAAACTAATTTGTGCATCATCAGTTTGGCGCCGTTTATGAGAATGACAAAATACTCATTTCTAAACACTTCATTTGTTGAACCAATGATGATCACCATCAGATCCAAATCCATGAATCAGCTTGAAGATAACCCACCACCAAGAGAGGAGGAGGTTGCTCCTTAACCAACCAATCCTGCTCCAAATGAGCAGCAGATGCTTGAGATCATGTAGCAACTTGCGACCCAGAACCAACAGATCCTGTAACTAATGCTCCCTAGGCGTCAAGGAGTTCCCCACATGGGTGCTCCTCATATAGGAGGAAGAGCATAGCCTGGACCTCAAGTTAGAGAAACTCCACGCCCTGGGCATCAAGGAGCTCCCCACATGGGTGCTCCTCATCTGAGCGCCCCCTTTGGAGCCCCCTCAGGCGCCCCGCACAGGGGAGCTCCCCACAAGGGACCTCCACCTCCTCTTCCAGCTCCCTCTTTTCATGATGGAGACCCTCTTTTCCAAGAGGACGA